GCTGGCGGTTTTGTTGGATCCATTTTTCAATTTAACCCCAAGGATGACCCAGTTCCTATAGTCATGTGTTTTTGTGTTACTGTGGATGACCATGCTGCAAAACACTGTCACTCATCAAAAATGTGGAATGGATCCCTAAGGAGTTGAAATCAAAAGAAGATCTAATTTTCAAAGGGAAAAATAAAACATTTTTCTTCCTTCCTGCTAGTCCCTAGACACACGCAAAAAGATTGCTACTGACTAGTGTTACAAGAGGTTTTACTTCTTGGTAGTAATTCTGATAAACCAAGAAAATTGCCAAAACAAAACTTTTATGTGCTGAAGCAGTAAATTCCTGCTTCTGATATCAAGCTGATATAAAAGTGGAGTAAATTATGTGAAGATTGTCAAATTTGTAAGATGCTGAGATAGAAATCAGAGGTACAGTCTTTCAAATGTCTGCTTAAGATATATAAAACACAGGAAGAAGACATAGAGACTGTGGTTAAGAAGCTGTTACAGATCCATTCATTCATCAGAGCTTCAGACTCTCCAGGTGTTTTAATTAAGATAAAATATTGTTTGCTAAGATAAAACATTATTTCATTTAGCTGTTTCATTAAATGAGGCAAAAATTGTGCCTCAATAGAGTTTGTTCAGGAAATGGAGGATTCTCTATGGAAGGTACAGTGGGTGTGATTCTGCTGTCACATACAGTGATGTAAATCAGAGTTAACTTCACTGAAATTAGTGGAATCCCACCTGAAATAAATGACCTAAGTGGGAATAGAGTCAGGCAGTTTTTGTATCAGGCGCTTTACCAGTTAAGTGGAGAACAGTCTAGATAGGATTTTTTAAGGTTTGCATCAGGGTATTATATATGTAATTTTAAAGTTATGTATATTTTACAGGAATTTTGAAAATCTTAATTCATTGCTTTAGGCTCCTTGTTATAGTAATAGGGATAAATTACTATTTTAAAAAAAATTAAAGAAAAAATATAAAAATTATTAAGTGCAGAATAAGATTGGAGATAGCCATGTTTGAGATTCAGTGCTTTGTTTACAGCCTAGTTAAGCCATCTGGACCAGTCTGCACTCCCACATCAGTTAGGTATTGCTCTAACTGCTGACTTCAAGATCTGCTTTAGCATTCAGTTTCTGACACATTTTCACTTGTTTTCTGTAAAATCCATCTAATTTCCCTGGGATTCTAGGAATTCCCTGAGAGTTTATGTGAATACACTACAGTTGCATTGGGCCAAAGGAACTTCAGTCACATGCTCGTCCTCCTGCAATCACCATCCATCTCCTCATTCTTAATTGACCCTAATTTGAGCAACCTTTTGGCTGTGTTCAGGTCAACTCTGCTTTTGTCTAAAATATGGAGAACTGACTGCCTATTTGATAGAGGCAACACAGAAAAACAAGCATGTCCTATTTTACTGCCAACCACCATGGTTTCTCTGATCCGTTAGTGTCCTTCAGCAGAATTTCCAAGATGCCAGCTAGCGGGGGGCGGGGGGAGGAGGGGAAGGCACACACATTGCAGGGAAAAAGGAAAACCCACCCCAGGAAACCAAGCATATAATCCACTTGGGTTCACATCTGCCCCCAGGTTTAAATGACAGGCTGATTTTCTACTAGCTGCTCTTTCAGCCACTCTGTTTTTGCTGGATATACAGTTTGTGTGCTGTGTATACACATTCCTTGTCCTGTCTTTCCTGTATTCATCAACCCTAATCGTAGCTTGGTATCTGTTACACTTTTAGCCCCTATCTTGACCCATTTTAATTACCTTATTTAATTACCTCTTCGTGATAAGAAAGTCTTGCCTCAGTGACCTTTTTAATTTCCTCAATACCTTTCTGTTTTTTTAACCCTTCCCTAAGTGTTTGCTACTTAGCCCTTTTTTTTTTTTTGAAGCCTACTGTTTTCTTTCCATTTGCAAAATCCTCTTGATTTTCGTTTTCTCTCACTTCTTTTCAGATCATGTCACATGGTTGAAATAGTGTACTGAACCATCAAATGGATAATGGACAGATATTTTCATTTGTTTTATTTTAATTTAACCTCATTCCTCTTCTTATTTATCTACTGTCAAGTTTTCATTAATGGTGCAAATAATATTTGCCTATTTTACTAAATTCTCTACCTCCATTTAATACATTTTGAACTGTGCTATTTACTCATGTGCTAATCTCACGTAGAATCTGAGAAATTATTACTGCAACTATCTGTTAAGAGTTGGAAGTAGATAAAGGTATGGGATTGCATTCTAATTTAAGAACATCCCAAAACAAGACAAAAGATGCTTTTTGTGAGTTTGGCAGTGGGACTGCATTCATTTTCACATACATTACTGCCTTTCTCAGGCCAGCCTTCAATGCCTCTTCTCCTTTGTCTCCCACCTCATGTATGAAGCAGTTTGCATGTTGATTCATTCAGTTCCCAGCGCTGCCTGGTGACTGAAAGGCTATTTGACGTCATTCTGTGATTTGTGTTATTTCTAATGTTCCTTTTTTTAGCTTGGTGTTTAGCCCTTTCCTGTGTGGTATTGCAGACTCTGGGACCCTGGACCTATGGACCAAATTTTCTCTGCTAGTGTACACTTTGGGTCTCTTATATTTATCCTTCATCTATTCCATCTTCTTAATGACTACTTTGATGTCAGTTTTGAGGAGATGTGATCACATTTCCTCATGATATATAGCCTGTCCTAGAACTGTAGATTACCAAGTGAGGAGCGTGTTTCCTGAAACAGCTGTCATCAGTACAAGTCTGGAATACCTGCCCTTTTTATTTAATTTTTCCTGTTTGGTCAGACAAATAAAATAAAGGTTCAAACTTCTCAACCCTTAGGGAAGTTTGAAATCTCTGAGCTGCTGGGACAATGCCTTCAGTGAGACTACTGGTTTGAAGAAGTGCTGATCATATAATGATTGCCTGATCCAGATGAGTGATGAACAGTTGCTGTATATCTTTTAGGACACAAAATGCATTCTTTGGTTTCATTTCATTCTTGGTAGCCTTGAGTTGACATATAAATGTGAGAATATTTACCCAAGAATTTGTAATAGAGTTAGAATGAACATGTGGTTGCAAGTTGCTGACAATGTTTAGGAAACAATCACTGTACTGAAAATGTAGTGACACAGCAAGATTAATAGTAATTTATTACCTGCAAAGAATCTACTGTACTGTTTTATGCATGCTGGTTATGTTTTTGCTTTGTTCATCGCCATAACACACTCTGTTGGCAGGTCCCTAACGAGCACCCTGGGGTCAACGCTCCTCCAGGATGTATTAAGGCTTCAGCATGACTAGCATTCTCCTTGCTCATGCGTTTCAGAACTGTTTCTCTAGGCTGGCTACAGACTCAAGGAGGAAGCTCAGGTCCGGATGTCTAGTTTCAGCCATTTATTTGCAGCTAGAACGAAAATGAGAAAAAACAGAAGCAAGGAAGAAAAATTGGATTTGTAGAGTGCAACTCTAAGGATGCAGGTCCACATATGTTTGATTTGGCAGCAAAGCCCTTTTAAGAGGTTCCCACCTTCTCCCAGTCCATCCCTCCCCTGTGCCACGGTTTTCCACCTGTCAATTCTGCTGATGCAGCTCTCTGTGGGGATGCAATATAAACCTTTCTGGAGGAAAGGAATGGGTCTTTAATGTGTGAGTCATGTTACAGTCCCTAAAGTGGTTGCATTCAAACAACCGAGGGTGTGAAGTACGGACAGGGCTGGGTGTCAAAGGTCAAAGGGAGCCAGGAACTGTTAAGCCTGGAAGTTAGAGCCCTGCCGCGGGTCTGCATTGTGAATCCATCTCTGAATACATGACTTAGCAAATGCTGTTTACTATCTTCTTAGTATGGAAAGAATATTTCAGTATGAAGGTTACTCACAGTACTGTACTTCACTCTTTGTTAACAGGCACAGTGATGACACCAAACTACATAGACTCAAATAGTCTCAGCGTTGCCCCGTGGTGTGACTGCAGCAACAGTGGTAACGACATAGATGAATGCCTGAAATTTCTGAATTTCTTCCAGGACAATACATGCCTTAGTGAGTACAAAATTAGATGTCTTTGAATGTGTTTTAGCATGTTTTCTGGAATTTCTTTACTGTTTAAGTATGTTATGATACATCAAGACCATCGCTTTGCACTTTGTAAGCATGGTTCTGCTGTAAGTGTAAGAATTAATTAGACAAGCAAATATGCCTGATACTATGGATTATGGCCAAGATTGCAAACGTAAGAAGTTCTTGAAAAAAATTCAAATAACAGAGTTGTATCATATAGAAATATGTTTACATCACAGGTCATGTTCGGACCCTAACAGTCAGGCAGCATCTGTACCAAAAAATTGCAACACCTGAGGGGCTTCTGTATAATTTAAGAACTTCATATAAAAAAAGACATGTAGTTTATGATATGAAGGATTTGCTGTAGGTAAGTATAAATTGGATTGTGCTTGCAATTTATAGCCAAGCTTCAGATTTTTTAGGCTACTTGATCTCAGATGCCTGAGATCACAGGTCTGGATGGTGCCTGTTTTCAAGATTTTGTGAAATTATTGACTTTTTTTTCAGTCAAACTCACTTCCAAATTAGGGACTATTATAAATTTCAGAATGGCTTAGTGGAGTCGATTTTGGCAGGTTTTCTGTTCAAATTTCCTGTCTGCCTGGAGCAGCATAATTGGATGATGTGGAGTGTGCATCAGAGTTTTAATTTCAGATAAATGAGGAGACCAAAAGAGCTTGGCTTCCCTAGCCTAGCAGAACAGAAGTTGAAAGGATACGTGATTGTCATCTGCAGTTGCATTAGAGGGGCAAGCCCAGGGAGGGAAAAGGATTACTTAACCTAGAGGACAATGTTGGCACACGATCAAAAAGGAAGATATTGGCCATACATATTTAGGCTTGAAATTGGAAAGTTTTTAACCATCAGACTAAAGTTAAGGAATAGGCTTCCAGCAGGAGTTTTGAGGTTAAAAAATTCTTACCGGTTTTAAAAGTCATATTTCATCAGCTTATGAAAAGAAGCATACATCGTTGCTTTTTTCAAAAACAGCAAATGAACTTGATGATCCAGACTGTCCCATCCAGCCCTATATACTTGAGCTAATGCTAATGCAGGGTTCAGTCTGTATTTTAGTATAGGGTCTGAAAATCTCCATTGGTAGCTTCTCAACAGGCAGCATTGTGAAGGTATGTGGAGCTTTGCATACAAAAAGTGAGTGACTTGAGTTGCTATTTGATACGCTACTTATTAAGCTTTGGAAGAATGAATCAATTACTCAAGATCATTTAACAAAAAAACACAGAAAACAATTCAGACTATGACTGGGTAAAAATTAACAATATACCATCAGACCTTCTTCAAACCTAATGGGGCTGCCATTTATATATACTGTAATACATCAGCTTTTATTCATTTGTGAATGTATTAAATGCTAGACTGTTACAGGGTCCTTTTAGAACATAAAAACAGAGCGATCCCTTGTCCTTTCTTTTGCTATTGGTATAAAAGCATTAATGAAGACAAATCATTAACATTAGAGGTTACTGTGAGACAAATTATAGTCATCCTAGCTGTAAGAGATGTCTTCTTCATGGAGAAAGTAAAGATGTTTCCGGTTTAATACAAAGTTTTTTCTCTTACAGAGAATGGGAAAAGTTCCAATTATTTTTTTTTAATTGTTATTGTCGTTAATGGGCCTTCCAATACCTGGAGAAAATGTCATGTGTTTATTGGATGAGATTAGAATCCCTCCCACTTTTTTTAGACGAAACAAAAATCGCTTTTCCACAATGGGATGAAACTAGGAATTTCTTGGTAGTCTGTTTTGCTAAAGTATACTTCCCCTTCAAACTGGAAAATAAACCAGTGATTTGGGGCATTTACAAAAGATGTGGAAAACCTAGCTTAAAAGTTTATTCAAAAACCTATTTGGTTATTTATGCAAAGTGGAATAGCTGAGCCTGTGCCCTGAGGGCTAGGGGACTCAGAAAGCTGGAGACCTAGGTTCACATTCGTACTGTGCCTGGTGTGGAGCTGGGATATGAAGCTGAGCTTACCATGTCCCACATACACACCTGAAATCCTGGTCTTTCTTGCACCTCTGTATACACTTGCCTAGAAATTCCACTCGAGTTGAAAAGCCTTTTGCAACAGATGTTAAGCTGAAACCAGAGTGGAAGTTGTGATTTCAAAAGGTGGATGTGAAAATACTAGTGAAAATTCCAGTCTGTTTTAATAATTAGTCCCAATAAAGACAAACATTGCATTGTTTTCTTTGTACATATATTAGATAAAATGTTTCTTTATCTCAGCATTGTTCTGCAGAATATGGCTTTATATCAGAACTGTGAAATTGGCCCAATGTCAAGAAAGCTAAAAATCCAAATTAATAGGCCCCAAATAAAATATATTCCACCCTAAAACTTGAGGCTGTGTTTTACCTTGCTTATACTTTTACCCTCTTTATTAGAAGATGCAAGTTTATTGGTTGTATTACAGTGGTCCTAATTGCTGCCTCTCCAGTTAGGGTTTGGCCAATCTTAAATTCTGGAAATCCATCTTAAGACTTTATTTTAGCTACTCTGAAAGTGAATGTACAGACATTCATTTACATACTCTAGAATTCCTACTGAACTGAATGGGATTCAGTATATCTACATACCTCTTCAAAGGATTTGTTCACACTTGCTTTATAGTGCAGTAAAAAGAATTGGCAAGTGGGAGGAAAAGCATAAAGCAGTGAGTTAGTTATAAAAATTATTGAAAGGACTGTTACTAGAGCAGTCAAACACTTGAAGCACCTCCTTACAGTCATTATGCTTTTTGAAATGTATTTGAAATATGTATGAAAATTATGTATATAAAATACATATTTAAAATATAATTTATATGTTTGAAATATTACAAATAATATGAGGAGGGATGGAACACCTCTCCTTTGAGGAAAGGCTGAGAGAGCTGGAGTTGTTTAGCCTGGAGAAGAGAAGGCTCCGGGGAGACCTTTTTGCAGCCTATCAGTACTTAAAGGGGGCTTACAAGAAAGCTGGGGACAAACTTTTTAGTAGGGCCTGTAGCGATAGGACAAGGGGTAATGGTTTTAAACTAAGAGAGGGTAGATTCAGGCTAGATATAAGGAAGAAATTTTTTACGATGAGTGTGGTGAAACACTGGAGCAGGTTGCCCAGAGAGGTGGTGGATGCCCCATCCCTGGAAACATTCCAGGTCAGGTTGGCCGGGGCTCTGAGCAACCTGATCTAGTTGAAGATGTCCCTGCCCACGGCAGGGGGGTTGGACTAGATGACCTTTAGAGGTCCCTTCCAACCCAAACTATTCTATGATTCTATCATAGAATCATAGAATATATCAAGTTGGAAGGGACCCATTAGGATCATCGAGTATGATTCTATGAAATAATTAAAGACGACTAATTGTGAAGACCACTTTTACTTAGAAAACTTGGAAGGATTGCACGTATTTCTGTGATCCTTCTTGCAATAATGGAAACAAAGAGTTACTGTTAATATAGGAAATCATAGGAAAATATTGCTTTATATATTGCCTTATTCAAGTAAAACCAAGAAAAATACCATTCCACTCTTCCCACTTTGTCTCCATCAACCCAGCTGATTGTGGTGCCTTTTACAAATTCTTCTCTTTGCATGTTGGAGTTCTAAGAACTAATATCAGAATAAAATACATCTTTTTCAGATGGGTATTAAATGTAAATTATTTTATAAGGCAAGGAATACCACTGAGAACAAGTATTAATAACTTCCACATATTAGTCCCCAGTGAAACTGTTTGATTTCTTGTACAAAGAATTTAAAATAAGAAATCCCTAAATCCATGTTGAATCCCCAAAGACCTGATTAAAAACTGTTTTTCTATTTGTTTATAAAAAACCCCAACCAATTTACTCTTGCCATAAACACACTCTTTAATCCCATGAAACTATGATAAGCTTTTTAACTTTTATATTCTGAAGTTTTAGTTTAAGCATGCTTCCCTCACCTAATTATGCAGATTTTGATTGAAAACTGTAAGGAAAAGATGTCTTAGTTAAACCATTTTGTAGTTATAGGCATATTAGTTTTACTACCACAAGCTGAAGAAATAAATTAATATTTTGCCTGCTCTCTGTTTTTAGTTTGCTATGTAACATCACCTGCCTGAATTAGGACATAACATTCAAACTGTATTGTAAATCTTGAAAGTAAATTTTTGAGGCTTTTGGATGGTAACAAATATGATTACAGTAGGTCCTAGAGCTTCTGTCAAGAATTACTGGGGACATTACAAAGAAGAGGCCACACCAGATAATTATGTGACCCCAGACTCTCAGTTCATGTCTCTGATATGTTAAAAATTAAGACACATTTTTCAGCATAAAAATTGAGTTTCTATAAATACACATTTTCAATGGAATAATAATAATAATAATAATAATAATACTGATTTAAAAGTCAGTTCTGCTTTCTACCATTTGTTTAGAAATAGAAAATTGCCTGTAATTTATTTTTACAGAAAATGCAATTCAGGCCTTCGGCAATGGTACTGACGTGAATGTGTGGCAGCCAATCTTACCAGTACAGACCACTACAGCCACAACTACAACAGCTTCCAGACTTAAAAACACAGGTTCAGAGACCACCAACAATGAAATACCCACCCACAACGATTCACCAGCATGTGCAAACCTGCAGGTAAGAGCGTCTTGTACTTGTTGCAGTGCATAAATGAAAGTTTTTCGTAGATATGTATACAAAGTAGTCTCCTGCTGCATAAATAGATGCCTGCTTAAATTGGAATATCTATTTATTTCCATGTTGTAGTTACAAGCCGGATATATTGTAAAATATCAGACACTTATTTTAAACAGAAAAATGCATATTTCAAAGTAGACTTTATTGCCTCTCTGCCTCAGAAACAGGGCATAGTATTTAGTTTGTTATCACAGGTTTGGATATGAATGTCGCACTCTCCAAACTCTGCCAGGATATGTCAGATTAAATTAATCCCCTGAGTAATCCAAATTCAGAGGGAACTCTTAATGTCAGCTAGCGTGTCCTGCTGCCTTCTTTGTTATGTTATTAGCAGTAAACTTAAGAGGTTTTTTGGCTGAGTAGGTCTGGATATTGGAGAATATGTGGTGCTACAAACTTCATGGTGAAGAAGCTGGACAAAGATAGAAGCTATTTTGAACCAGGCGCTTTCCTGAACTGGTGTCAAGGTCGTGATGTGATTTTGGCCAATGGCTGTAGCGATTTTCTTTGACACTTCAATTAGGCTATTCATGGTGTGTCATTGATTCCGGATTTAAAGAGGCTCATCACTTGCTGAAGGCAGTATATGCAGCTCTTACAAAGTTTGAAGAACTTCGGCAGGAGTCAACTGCAAAATCAAGGCGGGAAAGAAGTAACAGGAAGTGTAAGCTGAAAACATCCTTCAGCCAGATTAGATACTTGGGTTATAAAAATTTCTGGTGGTTTAAATGCAAAATTAGTTCAGGGATAAGTCAGCTTGGCCTGTTTATTTTTGTCTTTACAGAAGGAAAATTGCTATGTGACACAAATGAAAATGTCCAAGTTTTAAGGTCTCATCTGGTATTAAGACACTTTTTTTCTGGATTCCCAAACTCTTCCACACTTGTAGCATTCACATTTCACTTACTTATAAAAAATTGATTTTGTATTCTTCATATTAAACTGTATCAAAGTTTCCATGTTCACTAAAATGGACAGTTCTTATCCCTTGGAAATGTATTTTGCTTCTTAATTTTTCCTGCACCACTCTCTCATCTTCATCCTTTTCTAGTTTCTCCATTTATTTTGCATTGGCAAATTGCATATGAATTAACATTTTTCAGAGGCATTACGGAGTCACAAAGTATATGGGGTTAATGGTAGATGGTGGTGACTTTAGGTCCTTCTGTCTTAATTCTTTTTTCCGTATCTGTCCATTCATTATTAGTTAAGCTTTGTAAGTTATTGATGAGAAGGAGATAGTTGTAGGCATGTATTTCTGTATGCACTAGTCATTTGACCAAATAGAATATGCTAAAAAGAAATGTAACCTTTTAAACCTGGAACTTGGAATATCTTGCATTTAAAGCGAGACCTTGATGAGATATTATTAATTCACCTCATGTTATATTAAAAAGTTGTTTTATGGGAGAGATCATGTTTTCCTTCAGTGTTTACACAGTCCCCTATAGAGTAAGGCCTCCAGATGCTACCAAAGTACACATGATAAATAATGAACTGAAGAAATGGCAAGTGATCACAAATCCCATTGGATTCAGTTTGATTTGCAAATGTTCCTCAAGCCTGAATAGCTGTTCCAGTGTTTTGAAAATAAATGAAATTCTTTCCTGTCCCTACTCCCGTTATTCTGGCATTTTGAAGTCACATCCCACATGAGTTTATCAGCACTGGTTTAAAGCTATATTACAACTTCGAGTGCACCCCTGATATACTTAACA